TATTTGATAAAATAGTTTTTCTTCTGTATAAGGTTGTTTTTCATTTCCTAACCTAACTTTTGCTAAATGTAAGCGCAATACTAACAAGGAAACTTCGTACAACTTCTCAATCGTCCTATACCCCACGAGGAGACGCAAGATAAAAATATCAAATTTAAACTTTAAGGAAGTTGTTCAGGCTTTTGGAACTTTCCGGAGAGGTGCCAATATAATAAATTTTGATGTCCGCTATTTCAAAGAGGTGTATACATATATATAATGTCCTTTTTGGGATTTAAAAACGTAATCTCTAAGTACGCTTTACTAAGGGAATTCTTTTATAATCATTAAAAAATTAACAATAAATTTTTTAGACAATTTCCAGTCGCAATTAATCACTCCAAAAAAACGACAATAAAGCATTCGAGTTAATCAGCAGTTGAAATTCGCAGAAAAATTGCGGCATGACGAACTTTTCCCACTGGGAAATCGCAATATCCTTGCTGCTGGCGCTGTTGTGTACGTAATTTATCGTACAACTTTTCTTAAAACGTCTCATTGCTTCGATTTTACAGATTTAACACGAGTTTGACGTACACACACATCGCCGCGCTGACATAACCTCGTCCATCCTTGAGAACTGCCGCCACACAAAGCATTCATCTCTTTGTTCATTCATTGCTGTGCACTCAATCGCTCCACAACACACTTACACATATACATACATGCAGACAAGACCACATCCTCATTCTGACTAACAAAATACCCACAATTGGTGAAATAGTCGCCGTCGTCGTCGTCTCGGTCGAGTTGGTGCAGTTCAAAGAAATTGAGACATCAACAACTTGTTGTTTGTTGGTGAACGGGTTGCACCGGCTGCAGCAACGGCAACTGGACGAACGATGCGGCATCTGCTTGCAACGATGGATTTCGTTGTTGCATTTATTGTTTGCACTGTTTGGTATTGTTTTTGTTGTTCTCGTCTGCACTTTGTTGCAATTGTTGGACGCTAAAGTGTATGCCAACATATTTGCTGTTGTTGTTGTTGTAATATTTGCTGTTGCCGGTGCCGCCTCATTGCACTTCCCTTGTGGCATACGTGTGTGCATGTGTGTGTGTACAATATGTGCCCATAAGCCTCAGCTATAAGCGCTCGCTGGTGCACCTACCTACGATTTGTTCCTACTCATTTAATAATCCGAAAACTTTGATCCACTCAACCCATTGCCTCAATCGGTTCGTTACATTTTGAAGTTGTCCACGTAACTTTGCGTTATTTATTACCAATCTGGAATATTTTACAAACCAATAAACGTCTAACGACATACCAGTACACCGATTCCAACGAGCGCATACACACATATATATATAGATATATGTATATACATTTGTATATTTGTTGCACAGTAATATGGACAACTTATTTTGCGGAAACCGAAACTCGTACTTCCAAATGTTGTTAGTGTCATCCATTGCTGCTTTCATTTTGCCTGATTATGCTCGCCGTCATCGTTTGCGCGTTGAATTTATTACTTAAGACAGTTTTGTAGTGAACACAGAAATTATAACCAGCAAACACCAGCTTGATTACTTACATGGATAATGTGATTACGAAAGATGTGGGTTTATGTAGTTGCCGTTACGAAGTGTTTTCAATCGGACGAGTTGCAAGAACTTCACTCAACATCCTGCAAAAGCTGACCGGAAGTGAAGTTCTTATCGTGTTTTGTCTTGAAGTTGGTCTCTGAAGTAGAAAATATAAAAAATGTATTTATCTAATAAAATCTATTAATACATTGTATAACACTCGGCTGGCTATTCGACCAAACCCATTTTGTTTATTTTTTGAAAAATTTAGTCATAAGCTACAACACCCTTTTTTCGAAATTAGCCTTTAAATTCGAAATAATGTATTCGAAGTTCGCAAAGAATCGATTTTGACCCCTTATGGCGTCTGTTATATAAGCTGGATTGAAAAATTATGTATAACATATAATCTGCGTATTTTTAATTTTTTAGTAAATTACATACAATAATTAATATTTATGTTTGAAATGCGCTCAGTTTCGAACTTCGAAGCTAATTTCGGAAAAATGAGAAATCGCTTTTTCACTTATGACCTAATTTCTCGAAAAAAATTCGTAAATCCGCATAGTGTTACTGACAACATAACACACACAGTTCAGTGGTATAAAACACTAAATTTCTAAAAATATATTATATACTATATTTTTGCTTATATATCGGATGCACATATATTTGAAAGTATTCCCAAGTACAAGTCAATTATATTAATGGTTAAGCGATGAATATAAATGAAGTTGGTCTAGATCTTGATCTTAGCCTCATATCTCTAATATAAAGATAAGAAACCTCTGTTTGACGTTTTCCACATTAACTCAATATATTAAAATAAGCCTCTTCGGTTGAGTTTATTTTACATATACATATCTAATTTCAAGATGATTTTAAAATAAAGTTTTGCCAACACCTGAAGGTATACCCCTGGCTTTGATACTTGCATGTTGCGAGAGTATAACATGTTCGGTTACACCGAAACTTAGCGCTTCCTTACTTGATTTTTTTTTTAATTTTTGGATATTTCAGATAATTTTGAGCAGATTTCCTCACCTCCAGACATCATTTTTTCGGTGCTCGTCCTGGAGATTGGTATCAAGGGAATTCAAATTTATTACTATTATTTTTATTATTATTAAATTCTGTAAATGTACATTTTTTCATTTATGACTTGTAAGTGTATGTAACCCCTTAAGATGTAAGTAGGTCCTTAACTAAACGAATGAATATTTGGGTTTATTACGATTAGACATGATTAACTTTTTCCTTATATACTGTGGCTTATGGAACTATTGCACGCATTGAACGTAAAGCAACTCAGACTTTAAAAGATTTTATAGAATCCTTCAATTGGTCCATCATGGTTTACAAGTAGTCTAATTCTCAATTGAAGACAATCAATTATATAAACGAATTTTTAGTTATCACGAATTTTGCAATCACCTTCTACTGTACTGGGAATAGAAATCATGTGACTCTTGTTGCCCTTATTAAACTATCACTGAAGCTGGTTTTCTCATTCTTAAATTCTGACCTTGAAGTCATAATTAATTCTTCGTAGAAAAAGTTTATAGCATTGATGCATCGATAAATCCATTTATGGCAATTTGGCGTAGCCGATTGTGTGCGACTCGATCTTGGCACACGGAAGGCACTGCAACGACTATTTGGTCGAGAATTGGGTTTTCTTTACTGAAACGCATTTTTATTTTTAGAATCTAAGAAAACTGTTGGATCTGAGGGTGAGGTAATCTACATGTGATCCTCGTGAATTTTTCAGCAAATTTTTGCTTAACCAACCAGTTTCAGAAATTGTTCTATTAGCCGCGTCAGTGATGTGGGTTGGCTACCTCAGAGTTGGGATTTAATGCCTCTTGAAATTTTCGTGAGCTGCTGTAAAGACCCCATTTGTACAAATCTTAAAGATTTATGTAAATATTTTATCTCCATACTTTTTATTTCATACCGAAAATTTACGTATGGAAGTCAATTGCGGACAGTCAGTCTAAAAATACAATCAAACTTTCGGCTTATAATTTCTGAGTAACTAGTGAAATCCACTTAGTTACAGTTACACTAAAACTTTGATTAAAGTGTTAATTTTGAACCACTTACTTTTCAATCTGCTGACTTTGACAAATTCCCCTCATATTTTTGTACGCATTCTATCCCACAATGATTTTCGAGTAGAACAAAAAACAATTGTTTATGATTTTTTCTCAAAAAAGGCTTTCACTTTTATTCTTTTTACTTATGTTTAATATGATTTTTGTTGTTTTATCCTTTAATTTAATATTCTTATGTGCACGACTTGTTTTCTCTCAGCTTACGAATTAGCATAACTATTTAGGTATTTACGATTATTTATAGCTAAATAAGTAGGTATGTATGTAGATGTACAGATTTTATTTAAATAATTTTAGTAGTAATAATAAATTATAGTTTGCATTTTTTTTTTTTGTTAAATTTTTTATGGTGTGTTTAAGATTACAGGTCCTTATTTGTTAGGTATTTATGTGTTTATTTTTTTCACATAAGTAAATTTTTGATTACTAATCAATACAATATTAATTACATAATTATTTTTAACAGCATTCTCTTGTATTAGCGTGTTTACATAAATATTTACAGCTATTCAAGCGCTAGACTAACTAACTAATTAACTCTCTGTGTTGGTATTTACATAAATGTTACAAGTTAGCGAATGATTTTTGTATTTCCGTTAATCAATATTTGGATGTGTTTGTTGACTTTAAGATTTGCTATTATATATTTATTTAGTTTGAAATTTTTTTTTAAATTTTTTATGTTGTTTTAGCTATTGATTTGCAGTTTATTTAGCAGTAAACGATTTGTTTCCTTTTTTTTTCTCAAAGCTTTGTTTGCGCATACCAGTTGCTCATGCATTTGATATATTTATGTGTGGTTAGTGTGTGCTTAGTGCCAACATATATGGGAATGCTATTTACAATTTTGGAGTTGTTGCAATAAAATAACTATTTGTTGTTGGCTAATTTACTTAGGAATAGTTGTGATTTATTTTGTTGTAGCGGTTGCGTGAATAGAATATTTTTTGGAAATATTCTAAATAACAAATAGGAATATATGTGAATATTTTTTTCCTTGAATTTTGCCAACAAAAAAGTCAAAATAAATAAATTGTTACACTAAAAAAAATATAATAATGTTAATAAAATATAATTAATACTCAAGAAAAAAATGTAAAAAAAGAAATTCAAAAAAAAAAATATAGAAATAGTAGTAAAAATATAATTAGTTTTTGAAAACTGGCAACAATTCAACTAATTTAGTAAAAATTAGAAAACGACATTAAAATTTACAAAAAAAAAACAAGTAAAAATAATAAAAAATAATAATAAAAAGAAATATTTATTATTTAAATTAAAAAATAAAAATATTTGGATTAGTTTAAAAATATCAAAGTTAATTACGAAATTGTTTTAAGAAAAATTAATATATTTCAAAATATATATATCTAAATAAAATTCGAAACTCAAAGTATATTCTAAATAAAATTGCAAATCAAATTCATTGTGCCAACAAATTATTGAGAGATAATATTTTTTAAATTTTTTTAACTAATTTACAATAATAAAAAAAACCATATATTTTCATTGCGGAGTGAACTGAGTTTGTTTGCCCTTTTTTGGAAACTTTGATGCTACTATTTCCACTATTTAATTTATTTTCATTAATTATACTATACAGATTTATGAATTTTTATTCAATTCAAATTTTATTCTTTATATTTATTTACAGTTACAATGTAAAATGCGCTAACATCACAGCAATTGGGGTAAGTTAAACTACCAATACATAACTATAAATTATAAACTACCAATTAACAGTGGCTCACAAAATTTGCAAACAACAAAAATTAGGTGAAAAATTAATTGCGCTTAAGAAGTGTTTTCGAAATTTTGCAGAAAACTATTGAACTCCCTCTGAATATTATATAGTACGCTCAGCTCGCTTCATACAAAATTTTGACGTCGCATTTTTCAGTAGCAAACTGTCGCTTTACCCATGAAAAAATGTGAAATGTGTTATGTAAGAATTGGGTCTAAACTTTTATGGTAGATGTCAAGTGATTCCACTAAAGAGCGTAGTGTGTGCTTAGTTCGCTTAGCTCCTTATCCCAAATGCATTAGACTGGGATGAAAGTAGCCGGCCATCGCCCATTGCGCACCCGGTCCACCACGACCCAGCGCGGCCATTTTGATCTTCTCGATTTCGGCTTCTTGCAGTCGTTTCGCTTTGGCGCGTCGATTTTGAAACCAGATTTTCACTTGTGTTTCGGTTAGGCGCAGAGAGGAGGAGAATTCAGCGCGCTCTGCTATGCTCAGGTATTGCTTTTCGCGGAATTTCTTCTCCAACGATAACAGCTGTTGGGTGGTGAAGGGCGTGCGTGGCTTACGATTTGGTTTGTGTTTGCGTAGATTGCACTTGATGCGTGGCGGTTCATTGTTGTCTGGAGGAAGAAAAGAATGAAAAAAGAGCGCAAATTAGTCTTTGCATATTTGTTTTAGCTTATAATCTTAAAAAATATTTAAAATAATAAAATAGGTAAACGATGTGAAATTGTTTGGTATGTGAAAAGCCAATATATGAAAATTAAATTAAAAATTCATAATCCTTTATATATAACATAATATGAATTACAATAAAGTATAATAAAAAATATTTTTGTTTTTTATAAACCCAAATTAAGTATAAGAATATAATGTTTACTTTTTTCACATTTTCCTACTAATACTTTGCTGTAAAATGATTTTTCAAAATCAGCGCAGTTCATTGACTCTCCAAAAGGTCGGTTCAAACTCTAGACCCACCTCAATTTAAAGCAATTAGCACAAAAAAAAACCAAAAACGTATGCAAATTGTCGCAACACTTTGCATAAATTTGCCGCAGCTGCATAAAAAAGCAACAACTACAACAAAATAGTAGACACTAGCACTAACATTTTTTTTAGTTTGAGTCGCGCACAGCAACTAAAACTGTCAACTTCACTTATGGTATTTATATTATTTGCAACAAAAAGCGCTTGGGAAGAAAAAAAAACACAAAATTGTAAATTGCTTAACAAATGAGCGCTGTCAACACTCAACATGCGCATACAAGTACAAACTATTCAAAACAATACTAAAAATAAGCAATCAATTACAATGGCAGCGGCAGTCAACAGCCGGCGGTATAGCGGCGACAGACAAACAAATGCGACGCAACTTGCCAAGCGAACGAGCGGACGACCAACCGTCCGACCGTCAGACAGACGGACGGACAATTGTCAATTAAACACGAATAAATACTTTCGCTAATTAAAAATAAATTCAATTAAAACGATACGTGAACATGTTAAATTACTTTTGGAATTGCTAGTATTTCACTCATGTTGTTGTTTCTGTTGTTTTCCTTTTTGTAGCTAGTGTTTTACGCTAGTTTGTAGTTTTGTATTTAGCGAAATTAGAGTTTTCTTGCTGCTTTCATTACTGGGCACGAGCGCGGCACATAAATATGCGAGTATACACACACACACACACATGTGTGTATAAGTAGCTAGCAAATAATAGGGGCAACAGCGATATTTGCATATAATTGAAAATCAATTAGGCGATCGCTCGTTGACTGTAATGCGCCGATGACAAAAGGCGCGCTGACAGCGATAGTTGTAAGTATAAAAAAACAACAACAATTTTCTTTGCAAACAATCTGCAACAACTATAAGAATGAAAGACAGCTACAATGAAATGGAATTATGCGCATTTAAAGCACATTTGAATTAATAACATTATTAAAATTTTTATTGTTTAGACACCATGGCGTATGAGTAACGCGCTTACAAGGCAGCACAACAAGGCGGCAATACATAAAGAAATGAAGCCATGAATAAAAATTCAAAAATCAATTGAATGTTGCTAGTGAATTTACGGCGCATGTTGTTTTAGTTGATTGCAATATTTTCGTGTTGTTGTTGTTTTGCTTACTTTTTTGCACAGCCCTTTTTTGGCGGCGCTCTTTCGCCACACCAAGCGCACTTAGTCGCTATTTAAGTGGCCAATAAATTTGCTGTCCAAATCATTTGTCACACGATGGGTTGAGTGACGTACACGAAAATGCTACGGCAAAGCGTAAACAAAGGCAGCGTGTAGACATTTGGGTATGGGCCGTATGAGGAAAGCGGAACAAAGTTGTTCTACAAAAAGTGAATGCAAAAACAAAAACAATTAAATAAAAAAACAACAACAAAAAAAGCAAGTCCCACGAAATTTTAATTTGAACATTTTTGCTTCGCACAAAAACAACAAGAAAGCACATTAACGCCGCAAGCTGCTGTGTGCCTCTGCTTGCTTGGCCATTGTGTGACATTGATTTCACAGCAACAATGTGTGGCATGCCCATATTGGCGTGGCATCTTAATGTTAATGAAAATACAGGCTGGCTGCGGGCAATTTTCATGCAAAACCACAAAGATGCGTCAGGAATGCGTTGCGGCATCCAGCAAATGGGGTCGCACGTAAATGATGAACAATTTAACATAAAAGTGGTGCTTGTGGCACCGAAGATTATAAGAGGCTGGCGAGCACAAATGCGCATATTGCACACAAGAAAGTTTGTGGCACAAATTGATAGCTAAATTAAAGTACATATGCCTATGTATGTTTTTGTGTAGATATGTAGACTGCGTACCACAGCTGAGGGTGACCGAAAATTTATGAAGGCAATCGAGATATTTCAATTTTATAAAAATTATTTAATTTTTAGTGTGTTTATGTGTGCTTCTTAATATTGGTTTGTTAAAACTGTTTTCAATTTAAAAACTTCCAATCATTTCAGAGTCACTAGTAGATTTTTGCAAATACACACGTGCTGTACAAATACACTCCCCTCAAAAATACAAATATCTTTATATACAAAAAGAACAGTATAAAGACAACAATACCGCACTCAATAAATCAAGTGGAAAGTCAACTGAAAATGAGGAGGAACATTTTAATTTTATGCACAATTTCATTGCTTGAATGCGTGGCGTGGCGGTAATTGTTTATTGTTGTTGCCTCCATCTTGTATTTCGTATTTGTTGAGCAATTCGGACTCAATTTTGGGTAAAAACTACAAATTAAAAGTCTTTTAAAGGTATACAAAAATGTTTAGGTATGATAAGATGCTTGAAATACTACTTAATTCTTATGAAAATATTGATAAATGTGTTAACATTTGTTTGAAATTTATTTTATAAACTAATTTTTTTCAGTGTATTTTTAATATTTTGGCATTTTTAATGGCATAACTTTCATAATTTCTTACATATATAGATTTTTGATATTTTTCCCCGCCATTGTTAGGTCTCTTTGTTATGTATTGTATTAATTAAACGTTGAATTTGTAAATTGGAATGCAAACGAGCGTGAAGCGTGAGCAAAGTGCTGTGCCGGACTGCATAAACAAAAATGCCAAAAACAATAAAATTCATGGTAAAAGGAGAAAAAAAAAATGTAAAAAAAAATACAACTAAGAAATCGGAAATAAAACTTATTTTATACAAAATTTTGAGAGTAATTGTTTCGTAGTTGTTGTTTAAATATGAAATAAAGCAAATTAAATTAAAATAAAACAAAATGAAATGAAGAAGAATAAATAAAATAAAATAAAAACAAATTAAAATAAAATTAAATGAAATAAAATATATAAAAAAAAGCAAATAAAATAAAAAAATAAAAGCAATTTAAATAAAATAGAAAAAAGATATTGTATAATAAAATATAATTAAACAAAATAAATTAAAATAAAATAAAATAAAATAAAAAAATGCAATAAAATTAAATTAAATAATCTAAACTAAAATAAAATAAAATTAAATAAAATACAAAGAAATAAAATAAAATAAAATGTTAAAATAAAAATACAAAAAAAAAATTTTTTTTGTAATAACATTATATTGAAATTAATATTGAAAAGCTTTATTTTTTAGTAGAATAGAAATTTAAAAAAATAATTGTAATTGCTGTTCTTTATAATAATTGCAACAAATCGTATAATTGCAGCGTGAAAAATATAAAATGAATCATATATTTTTGATTTTGATATCATTAATAATTGCTCCAAATACAATAAAAAGTATTTTCAAAAAAATATTATTTATGATTTTGAGAAAAAAAAGTATTTGCTGTAAATATATAAAAATAAATAACAAAAATATATAGCTGTTACTTTTTTTTTATTATAAACTTTTTTCATACAAAATATTTTTATAAATTTTTTACTTCTGTACAAAGCTTTTTTAAGCAACAACTCTTGCCCCAAATCCATCAAACACTTTTAAATGCTTTGTGCGCTTATACCACGACTGCACACAAAAAATGTCTTTTGTATGTATTTCAAGGCATTTAAATTCACTTGTTTCGCTATATACATATGCACGTACATATATGTATATGCATGTAAATTGTCTTTGATTACAAAAAAAAAGGAGAAAAATATACATAAATAATTCACAATTTATCGCTGCTGCTGCTAGTGCACATATGCCTGCAGGTATATATGTATTTTGTATAAAGTTAAATATACGTGTGAGTGTGTGTGTGCGTTTGCATGGCATTGCAGCGCACAAAAATATTTATTCTTGGAAAAAGCGAAGTCAAACGAGTGCATGTACCATTTCGATATTTCAACTTTAACTTGCTGCGGTTTGCTACTTAATTGTCTGATGCTACATGTGTTCTCCTACGTTGCAATGAATGCCAACACAAGCAGCAATTTAATTGTCAATTAATTAAGCCACACCAGCCATTAAATCGAAATCTTAACTTTTAGTTGTCACAAGTCCCTAAAGAGGAGTGCAACTCCATACATACATACATATATGTATTTATTTAATGATACAAGTGTGTGTGTGCTTGTAGAGTTATGCCATGTGTGGTGTTTATTTGTGTGTGTATGTGTTTGATGTTAACCCAGCAATGCGAAAATTGGATGATTTATGAATGAAGGAGAGAAGAGTGAGGTTACAAAAAGACCCGTATTGGGGTATATACTTTAATTATGTTTGTAGTATCTACTTTAAAATGGACAATAATCTATAGCACATGGTGGTCAAGTAAGCTTTTTGGAGTATTTGTAAGCGTAATTTAAATTTAAGCTACAGCAAGCAGTTTTAAAAAAAAATCTTATTAGCAAACAACAAAAAACGTTAACTTCGGTTGCACAGCCCTTTACAGATCCATTTAGCATATAAGGATATAAAAAGATCTTTATCTTGATTTTGATCGATCAGTTTGAATGGCAGCTATATGCTATATCTAATTGTCCGATCTGAACAACCGTTGCTTTAGACAATAATACATACGAATTTTTGAAGATATCTGTTCAAATAAAAAAGTTTTCATACAAGAAATAGTTTTAGATCACCACTATATCGACTCAGCTCATTACGCTGATAATTTATATATATATATATATACTCTGTCGTTATT